CGGTAAATAATCCAGGCACACCTCTTGGTGGTCCGATCGCCTCTCGTGATGTACGAACGCCATCAATTTGTCCCTCTTGCGTTTGCTGATGTCCTCGCCAGCATCGAAGTGCAGTTTGCGTTCGGCCCACATCCCCCCGGTAGGATGTGGGTTGCATTGTTTCATTCGATCTATGGGTGGAACCCCACTCGCGTGGACTTGTTTGTCGTCGTCCCATCCTACATTCCCTTTCGGGTCCCGAACACTCCGGAACCCGTGGTTCCTTCCGACATACTCATGCCGTATAGCTCGCACTGTTTGGCCGATCGAGAACCCTTAGAATGCTGCATTATCCAGCGGCATGCCATTCCCGTACACGTGGTAGGATTGAACGTGGCTAACTGTTCTTCAGACATCTGAAGCAGTCTACCAAAAAATAGCGCCATGACGGCGTGANTCAGACATCTGAAGCAGTCTACCTAAAAATAGCGCCATGGCGGCGTGGGAGCACCCCCCCTTAATGCCTGCAGGACATTCGCAGAGAGCCGCGATGACCTCCAGGGCTACCAGGGTTTGCGCCGACCGCGGGTCGTTGCCCACGACCTCCTCCTCTTCCTCCCCCTCCTCCTCCTCTTGCTCCGTCGGGGGTGCGTTCTCATCCACTTCTTCCACTCGTAGTTTGATGCGGACGCGGTACTCCTTGTCGGCCGAGAAGGAGGCGCCCGCGCTGTGCGTTGTCAGTTGGAGTTTATTCCATCGGGATGGGAAGGTTGTAAGGCGAAGTCTTGTCATTTTCGAGTTTAACTTTTTCCACTACACCGTTGCTGACGGAGCAAGAAGCGATCGAAAACAAAGTCAACGAAGTGCAGCGTACCGCACCGTCATGCCGTGCGGGGAAACGAATCAAGAACACATCGCGGAACGGTTTATTCCTCGAGTATCGCAGAGGGTAACTTGTTTTGTGTACGATGCTGGCATGAGGGTCATTCCGACGGGAACATCTACACGGCTTTTAACATGGTCAAGACAGAAAAGTACGGATGCCACGGAAAGTACCTGGGCACGTGGTGCACGTAGACCCGGGTGGGAATATGCTGCGCTGTCACCGTCGAACCGTACGTCGGGACTTGATCAAGCATACTCCATCCAAGTAATCCGAACATCCAGACACAACAACGTTGGAACACACACCGGAAACATTATGACGGCAACACGAAGCAGTCTGTGCCTATCCTCCTTCCAGGCGGGGTGCATATCGTGCGCCTCACCTAGTCCCAATCCACATTATGCCCCCTGCTGCCGGAACGGCCCAGAACCTGCTGAGGTTCCCCATGTCCAACACCCGCTGCAGCGATCTATACCACAGCCGCGAGCCCTCGCCGGCGAGTTTGTTCACTTCTCGCATGAACCGTAAGATTACGGCTTTCGATATCTCGGGGAGATGCCGACGCATAGCGGACCACTCCTTTATGCGCAGCCCTGTCGCAGGAAGATCCGGCATTAGCCTGGCCTCCTTTTCTTCAAAAGAGCTGAGGTCCGGAACGGGATGGCGAAACGCCAAGTTGGTGTCCAACACGCCGCAGCTCCTGATCAGTCTGACGACATCCCCGGCCATCTGAGCAAGGAGTGCTTTGTTGAACCCGCTGGTCCCGGCGTTGTCGAGACACCTAAAAACCTGACGGCATAAATGCACATGACAAGGGGAGCATCCCAAGCGTGTGGGGCGCATATACGTTCATGCTTAGCTGATGACGCACACCAAAACCCACCCGCTTTTCTTAGGCGAAGTACAATGTCTATCTTCCGATACAATTTGCTATCTCCACGTGCAGTCGCCGCGTGCATCTCGTACCCCATCGCTGCCTCGAACAGAGCGCGAAGAAACCAAAACCTCTAGGTTCGTTGTTACCCTACGCACAATAATCCCGTGTTCGACCTACTGCTGTTGCAGAGAGGTTGACGCGCATCGATATCTGACTTGTGATCAATGTGACCATTACCGTAAACAGACTGCGAGGGGGGCTGAATTGCACATATTCGGCGACAATGGTGTACTTAATCTGGTTTGAGGGTGGTCCACCGTACGCGAACAATTCAACTACAGTCCAAAATCGGACGACTTGTGGGGTACCATTCAGGCGCCATTTCTTATACAGTAGTACTACTTAATCCAATCGGGATATCCGCCCCGAACTTTATTAACAGCAGCCGTTTGCATGTGCGCTGGGTCAGAAGCGGAACGTGGTGTGTGGTCTCTTTTGTATGCGGACCAACATAGGTTCGCGTGTGTGCGTACATCGCTCTACCTGCTGCTGGATGGTCGACAGGCGCACTCGGATGCCAGTAACGGCAGTCTGGCAGAAATATAACGAAACGTCAAGTTTTTAACTCAAGATGCATCCTTTGCCCAAAAGACACTTCGAAGTAGCAACAGTCTATGGACCAAATATTCTGTCACAACCACGACTGTAATTAGTAATTACCCTTTCCGACAAGTAGCCTACTGACAGCAGTTCTCTATAAAAAATGTCGCCAAAAACCATCTTTTACTCACACTTAGAAACTCGCGAAGCTCAGGCACGGTCCACTTGGTGTAATCTTCAGTCTCCCCCGGGAGTCTGCTGAAGCCGTGTGCGCGGTAGTTGTTTGTTTCTTGAGGACCTCGAGCGCGAGACGTCCTGCTGCTAGCATTCGGGGGGCGACTACTAGCTATCTCGGGTGTTACCTTTTTCTTCGGCCTGCTAGCATCCTCGCCTGCCGCCTGCCCCTTCGCTTGTGCTGTACCCAGCGGTGGGTCCCATTCGCCCCCGGTCAGCGGACAGACATCCCCCCGGGCCACGCCGGACGCGAGGGGGGATAGCTCCAATGTCCCTGTACGTGCGGGATGCGAGCATGACAATGAAGGCAGTTCAGGCGATAGAATATGCAACGCCGTAACTAAAGGTATCTGCTTTTACATCAGTTCAGCAGGTTTACACAATATGCAGTACAGCGGGAGCAGCGTAATCACGGGACGAGTACATCCCGATTGAGGTTGAAATCATATTTACTACAAATCTACTTGTAGGAAGCATGGAAATGTGTGAAGTTACAGCAGACCTCCTTGCTGCACGGAGAATCCAGTGTGTGTAAGGTCTCACTACTGGCGCCCGACCACGAGTAGGATGACGTCGGGAAACATTTCAAAAGCTGGTCTTCGGTATAAGGAGCATTCTTACACACACCCGCGGAACACTGACCTGTATGGCGGGTGATGTCCTCGCTGGTCGGCGCGCCGGACAAATGTTGGAGTTCGCCGCTCAGCGGGTTCCACACCACGGGCTGTGTAAACATGGTGTGGCAGGCGCGCAGTCGGATCTCAACCTCACGCCACGCAGCAGGCGTGTCCTCCTCCTTGGACTCCACCAGCAGTCTTGAGGCCAGGTCTCCAACAACCGCATCGAATGGTAGGAGAGATGTCGCCCAGACGCCGCTTGCGGCGTCAACGAAAGCTAGTCTTGCCGCAGTAACTGGTCCGACATTTTTGAATTTCGCGAAGTCGTTGCCTACGATCATGGCGAACAAGAGAAGGCGGCGGCGGGCGGTCGGTTCCGGGAGAGGCGTGTAGTCTAAGCCCTCGTCAACTGGCGTGTGTATCCCGTGCAGCTGGCGCAGCCACCCATGAGCATCCCCACTCCGGAGGAAGGACCATGCGGTGGGTTGGAAGAGCAGCCTCTGCCGGACGCATCTTCCGATGAGCTCTCCTCTCGTGTTCTTGACCACTTCCACCAACAGATCCCGCACCCCAAGAACTGTTAAGTCAGAGTCATTGGCATACACGTACACGTTCGCCCCTGTTGCGAGATGGATGTCCTGGAAGACTACAAGCTGTAGATCCGCTTCGCCTGGGGCGATATAAACCTCCCCCCCGATACGGGCTCTCAAGCGCGTCGCGATCTCAGCGGTAGCTCGACCGTCGAAAGCACAGGCGGCGCTGGCCAACTTGTTGATCTTCACGGGACAGCCACCGGCGTCGTGTAGAGCGCGCGCCTGTTGTGCACTCTTCTCCCTCCTCTCTCGTCGGTGTTGAGAAGTCCCACCCTTGGCCGGAGGCGGCTGACCGTCGAACACTACCGTCACTAGGAAATTGCGGTCTTCAAAGAGCTTCACCTCTCGGGCACACTCCTCTACTTGACGGGAGACGTCGTTGTTGAGAAGTAAATTTGCAGCCGCAACCCCTCTCAAACACATTCGAACCCGCCGTCGATGATGACATGATGTCTGGCTTGTCCGTTTTCAAGATCAATCCTGACCGAAGCCAAGCTCTTGGACAAGCGGGAGAGCGAATTTACTCCCATCCCAACCGAGGGGAAGAACGCGTGGGAGTGAAAAGAGTGGGAGAGAGGTCCCCAACAAGGACACAAGGACCAAGTTCGAGCATGCGACTAGACCGGTCTCTGTGTTGCAAAAGGCAACAGGCCAAAAGCTAAACAACGGGCGGACCTTTATTTTGTAAAAAGGCGGGCTGTTCGGGACCGCTTTTGGAGACCGGAGTAGGACGGTCGCTTCGGCCCGTGTGGCGAGTGGAGGATGGTGCCTAAGCAGAGGATTGAAGAGCTGTCACAGCGTGCTTGTCCGGCTCCTCTAAGACTATCGAGGGTGTGGATGCCACGCACCTGATATCGCGCGTCATGTGCAGCATGGCCGCAGACCGCGGCAGCACACCCTATTTTACCGCAGATGCTCTACTGCTGCTATATTCGAAGGATTGATGGTGTCGTCTACACGCACAAGTCAAAAAGTTGTGTGTTAGGAGAGACAGGTCAACAACTTAGGTGGCTCGCAATTTGGATGAAAGCCACCTGGTCACAAGCGTAGACAGAGACACGTGCCTGACGCTGAATCGTCAAATGAAGCAGAAAGTGTGCTGGTGAGAGTGTGTGCAATTCTCTATACTACACTCTGGTCTACCATATGCAGATGCATACTTGCATGACACGTCGTTTGTTGCCTGCTGTCATGCCAACGAGGGCAGATATCATACTTGAAACAAAACGACACAGGCAACGACGCCGAGGGTCGTTTGGCACCTGCCATTAGAACGATCTACACTCGTTGTATCGTGTACCCACACACGAAATGAAACCACGACAAACAACCACTACCAGTACCACCAGGATGCTGACCTGCGCTGTTTTTTCATATACGAGAGGGTACACGGCAAACATAGATCGCCCCCCGACTCCACACGCCCCTCCCCCCCCCCCCCCCCCGCCCCCCGCCCCCATCTGCCATTGGCGACCTCTTGTTTTTTCTTTCTCGTAGTCTACTGCCTCCCTTCTACGTCTGCCAAAATCGAGAATAAAAAAACACCTCCCCCCTCGTAAAAAAAAGAACAAGACACACCCGCTTCATAGAAAAACCAAAACCACTGCACTTTCCTTCGCAAAACGAGGACCCCCTTAACGCGTCCCCCTTGAGGCGGGCCGTTCGGCGATCGACGCAAAACCAAAGTGTTTGACCGGCATGCTCAGAAATGTCGTCAACCGAGTTAAATCGGAAGGGATGATAGCCATTGCCCTGATTGACGCTGTTCTGTTGCCCGAAAATATGCATATAGCCACTCGGGTTGGTGGCACCTTGGGAGGGTGCATCCATCCGCTGTGTGGATGCACCCATCCCCATTGACGACGCCCCCGCCCCCTGAGTCGGCATCATCCCCATCGACGACGCCCCCGCCCCCTGGGCCGGCATCATCCCCATCGAAGATGCCCCCGCCCCCTGGGTCGGCATCAGCCCCATCGAGGACGCACCCGCCCCCTGGTTCTGCATCATCCCCATCGCAGAAGCACCAGCCCCCCGGGCCTGCATCATGTTGTGTGGTACCGACACGAACCCCCCCATCGACTGGGTGCCTTGAGCCATGGCGTGGTTGTGGGTCTGGTCGGAAACACGCGCTTGATTGGCGTTGCCCTGCGACATAGCGGTGCCCACCGCAGCAGCTATCTTCATTAACGTGTTGCCATCCACCGTCGCCAGAGCCCCATTCGTCGTCGCCTCTTCACGTTCGTCACTGGACACGCACCATCACGACAACGCAGGGCATGCGTCAGAAAGACGCGGGTGTTGAGTCTAACCGCGGGTATTTCGCAACGTACCACCAGCTCTCGAATCGGAACAACATTCATTACGATTGCAGTGGCTGCGTGGATAATATACAGCGTCGTCGACGGAGAAAAAGGCTACGGGCCACAACCAAATGACACCAAGTGTACTCACCTCCTCCGCGTAGCCTCGTGCTTGCGCGGACTGCGCCTTTTCGGCGATGGAGTATTGGATGGGGCGCCTCTCTTGTTGCCCGAAATGCTCCTGCGGGTTTATGGCAGGTGCGTAGCGGAGTATCGAATGGACGGGGGGCGGAAAGTTTAATGGGGGTGGGGGTGGAGGGTTGGAAGGAGGGGTATGGGGTGGCTGTTGGAGCACTTGCCCAACCAACGACGCCCAAGACCCGACAAGCCGGACCACTTACTCGCGACTTGGAGAGTCAAAAACCAAAGGCGGCCCACGCAACGATACCCTCGTCGACCTCTTTCCCAGAACACTCACGTAGACAACAATAGAACGCAAAAACCTATGCCGCACACCCACATACACCCAGGATTTCTAGAACAACGAATTGGGTGCTTCGTTGCGGAGGTATCACCCACCCTTGTGTGGCGTGCCCCGAAAACACTCCAGGAACAAACACCATCAACACTCACTCTTCGAGCTGGCGGCCGTTCTCCTTCACGACCCCGCTGATAAACTCGCATGCGTTCGTCAAGCCGCTTTGGATGCT